TAACAGCACATGCCCTACCACTAGTAACAGCACATGCCCTACCACTAGTAACAGCACATGGCCTACCACTAGTAACAGCACATGCCCTACCACTAGTAACAGCACATGCCCTACCACTAGTAACAGCACATTGCTTGGATGGCCTAAGAGACTGATGAACTAGAACACTATGGTCCGTTTCTTCCATAACAGTGTTAAGGTTATTTCCTTGAAAATTATACTCATATTTTAAATTATGATACCCTAAATGGATTACCTTGTTTTTATTATAATCAATTAAAAACCATCTGCCATTTATTTGCCGAACTCACCAAGTAATCCAAAACCTTTTGTAAGGCAGTAGCAGCATCATTCTCATGTATTTACATCATGTTCCTGTATGTTATATCTGGTTTGGTCAGATATTCACAACGATTAAACCAGTTGCTGTTATTGTTGACTTAACAAATAGTATGTTCAAAGAAAAATATATTTTTGCATTGCAAGTTTTTTGTTAATAAAAAAAAAGCGTTAAACTAGTGATATCCGTTGAATGCTGTGTTAGGAAAGTGTAGAACAAAGGTTGTCATTGTTGGAACAACTGAAAACAAACTGTTATGATCTGGTTAGTGCATGTATAATGTGTTCAGTTTCTTTACTTGTTATTGGCTCCGGAAGATATAAAATCGTCTAATTTGATACTTACGTTCTTCTGTATGTTAATAAATATGATCAGAATTTATTCTGTTGGTCTATAGGTTTCTATTGGTCACATAGTTCCAGGTGGAGCAGCAGATTTAGATGGACGACTCCGTTCAGGTGATGAGATAGTATTTGTTAACAATCAGGTGGTCATCAACACGTCACATCATCATGTGGTTCAGTTAATGGGAAACGCAGCTGTAAATGGAAGGGTGACACTGGGTATCAGAAGAAGAATGTCACCTCTAGGTATGGATTTCAGTATAAGTTGTGTTAGGGTAAACAGAAGAAGATTGTAACCTTTAGATATGGATTTCAGTATGCATTATGTTAGGGTAAACAGAAGAAGATTGTAACCTTTAGGTATGGATTTCAGTATAAGTTATGTTAGGCTAAACTTAAGAAGATGGTAATCTTTAGGTATGGATTTCAGTATAAGTTATGTTAGGGTAAACAGAAGAAGATTGTAACCTTTAGATATTGATTTCAGTATGCATTATGTTAGGGTAAACAGAAGAAGATTGTAACCTCTAGATATGGATTTCAGTATAAGTTATGTTAGGCTAAACAGACCCTAACATAACTTATACAGAAATCCATATCTAAAGGTTACAATCTTCTTCTGTTTACCCTAACATAACTTATACTGAAATCCATACCTAAAGGTTACAATCTTCTTCTGTTTACCCTAACATAACTTATACTGAAATCCATACCTAAAGGTTACCATCTTCTTTAAAGGTTACAATCTTCTTCTGTTTGATATGGATTTCAGTATAAGTTATGTTAGGGTAAACAGAAGAAGATGGTAACCTTTAGGTATTGATTTCAGTATGCATTATGTTAAGGTAAACAGAAGAAGATTGTAACCTTTAGATATGGATTTCAGTATAAGTTATGTTAGGCTAAACTGAAGAAGATCGTAACCTTTAGGTATGGTTTCAGTATGTTTTATACTAGGCTAAACTGAAGAAGATGGTAACCGTTAGGTATGGATTTCAGTATAAGTTATGTTAGGCTAACCTGAAGAAGATTGTAACCTTTAGGTATGGTTTTAGTATGTTTTATACTAGGCTAAACTGAAGAAGATGGTAACCTTTAGATATGGATATCATTATATATAATTTGAATTAGTTTGCCTCTATAAATTTAGATTACTGGGTAATATGTTATAAGACAACTGCTGTTATTTAACAACAACATAAAAGCACCACCTTCCATAATAGTTTGGTTTTACACTTTCCTACAAAGATTAGAAAGAGCTAATCTCGCAACTGCTTGAGTTTTCCTCTCTTTAAATAAATAAACTCCATGATTAAAGGTTTTTTTTACGACGTTAATATATTTGATATTTCAGGTCAACATTATCAGGTCAACATTTTATAGCTGATGACAGTATTATTCCAGTCACAACCATTTCTACTTACAGATTCTTTAAGTCACACAAAATCGAGTGAGAATATCTATCCGTATGATGTCATTGTGACCAGAATGGAAAATGAAGGATTTGGGTTTGTCATTATTTCTTCTGTGGGCAGATCAGGATCCACAATAGGTGGGTAGTTAAGACGTGATTTAATATGACTTAATAACAGTACATAGCTCTGAATAGAACTGTATATAGGCTTGAATATGACTTAATAACAGTACATAGCTCTGAATAGAACTGATATAGGCTTGAATATGACTTAATAACAGTACATAGCTCTGAATAGAACTGTATATAGGCTTGAATATGACTTAATAACAGTACATAGCTCTGAATAGAACTGTATATAGGCTTGAATATGACTTAATAACAGTACATAGCTCTGAATAGAACTGTATATAGGCTTGAATATGACTCAATAACAGTACATAGCTCTGAATAGAACTGTATATAGGCTTGAATATGACTTAATAACAGTACATAGCTCTGAATAGAACTGTATATAGGCTTGAATATGACTTAATAACAGTACATAGCTCTGAATAGAACTGTATATAGGCTTGAATTTATCTGGGAATAAGACTGGATGAACAGTACGTAATCTTGAATTTATCAGGGAATAAGACTGGATGAACAGTACGTAATCTTGAATTTATCAGGGAATAAGACTGGATGAACAGTACGTATTCTTGAATTTATCAGGGAATAAGACTAGATGAACAGTACGTAACCTTGAATTTATCAGGGAATAAGACTGGATGAACAGTACGTATTCTTGAATTTATCTGGGAATAAGACTGGATGAACAGTACGTATTCTTGAATTTATTTGGGAATAAGACTGGATGAACAGTACGTATTCTTGAATTTATCTGGGAATAAGACTGGATGAACAGTACGTATTCTTGAATTTATCTGGGAATAAGACTGGATGAACAGTACGTATTCTTGAATTTATCTGGGAATAAGACTGGATGAAGTAGTGGAAGGTTAAAGTTGTTACTGAATGTTAGCTTAAATGATTTGCAGACATGATCTACTAGGTATGAAAATTACTTTGTTAGCTTCTGTTAGGCTTAAACTTTATGTTTACTTGTAATTCTAGCTTTTGTTATACTGGATTACTGTCTGAAGTTCAGCTAGTTTCTGTATTCTTTATTTAACGTAACAAACTTAAGCCATTAAGAAATATTTTTAACGGCCAGTGTAACTTTTTCTTTTAGATTTTTCCCTCTTAAAAACACATGTGCTATTTTAATTTTCGTTATATCTTCTGAGCAACTTCCTGTTACTTTGACATACCAAGCTTTGCTAACAGCTTGTGCTTAAAGTATTATTGACATTATTATTCCTGAAAAGTTAATTTCACTTTCAGTGTAGAGGATGATGTTAGTGGCTTCAGTCCAATGCCTAGTTGATTATTTAATAAAGATATTGCTAGTCAGTCCAATCCCTAGTTGATTATTTAATAAAGATATTGCTAGTCAATCCAATCCCTAGTTGATTATTTATTAAAGATATTGCTAGTCAGTCCAATTCCTAGTTGATTATTTATTAAAGATATTGCTAGTCAGTCCAATTCCTAGTTGATTATTTAATAAAGATATTGCTAGTCAGTCCAATCCCTAGTTGATTACTTATTAAAGATATTGCTAGTCAGTCCAATCCCTAGTTGATTATTTAATAAAGATATTGCTAGTCAGTCCAATCCCTAGTTGATTATTTAATAAAGATATTGCTAGTCAATCCAATCCCTAGTTGATTACTTATTAAAGATATTGATATTTGTTCTTTGCAGGGAGGATTATTGAAGGGAGTCCTGCCGAGCGATGTGGCCAGCTGCACGTTGGAGATCGTATTTTGGCCGTAAATGGAATAAGCATCTTAAATGCACATCATGGGGAGATTGTGAACTTAATAAAAGATTCTGGTTACTCAGTTACCCTCACAATTGGTCCTCCTCAAGGTACAGCCTCTTAGTTAGACTTGTCCTTTATACTGGAGGTATATGTGTTTTAATATAACTATCTTTTAAGTTTTCTACTGGAACAGGTATTAGAAGTGCACATTCAGCTTATGTTTCACAGAACGTTAGGGTGACTCTGATTCAGACTTTTACTGTTTTTTAATTGGTTTATATTTTTGTTCATTTCATGATTGGTTTCTCATTAACTATTCTACCAATTGTACTGTTTCTGCACTAACAGCAGTGAAGTAAAAGAAACCTATTTAATTCATGGAGAAAATTGTTAAATGGCCCCTCAGCTACTTATGTTAGAAAGTAATAATTTAAACAATTAAGAATGTAATTATATAAAACAAAAGAAAGACAAAGCTGCTAATAATTTTTATATATGAAGCAATAGCTTAATATTAAATTTATTTAAACATTTCTGAATAATAATAGCAGTATGTTACGGGCAACATTTTGAGAAACACATTTTATTCTGCAGGTTTGGTGATGGTTAATACGGTATATAAAACCAGTTTTTCCAAATATTTGTATTTCTTTTTTGCTGAAAGTAAACTGTTTCTTATTCCAAGTTAATTCCATAATTTTTTAGCTGGTTTGCTCATTATAACCTTTAAAGAAAAAGAAAATTACTGTTATATTTTGCAAACTAGTGCTCCCCAAAAATTATACAGTTTATCAGTTGGTAGAACTCTACATATTCAGTACAACTGTTGATTAACTGGTACCAGTGCTTAAAGGATAGAAATACAGTTAGTTTATATTGAAACAAATCATTGTTAGTTTTAATGTATTGGATAGTTTGGTTTTAACATTTACCAGTAGAACTGAAATAAAAAGATGTTGATTTTTTTATTTGTTCCAGAACTTTCTTTTGTGTTTTCTTGTAGATGACACATCCAGTATAGCATCAACACCACATAGGGTAAGCAATACTTTCAGCATGGGCTCAGTCCGTGGGACCGACCTCGTAACCATTTTGTGCATGTTATAGTTTTTATGCTATAACTTTTTAATTAGTAAGCTCACAAAATTTGGCAGATTATTAGTAAACATTACAATACATATGCAAAATATAAATATTTTGTATTACATTTTAATATTTTTTTAAGTAATGTTTTTCTCGTGCCTTTTTTTCTTTTCACATGTTGACTATGCAACATGAAAGTAATTTTGATTTTAAGATTAAAAACATCAGAAAATTTCCAAATTTCACATGCAAAATCTTTATAACCTCCAGATATAATTATCAAATGTTTTTTTTAAGAAAAACAACAGTTATTTTCATTATTGAATCTCTGTTCGGGTTCAGTAGATTCGACCAATCTCGTAACCATCATACAAAATTAGGAAATTAATATAAATTATGCTTTTTTTGTTCTAGAATAACTACAAATTATAACACAAATGTTTACTTTCAATAGCTTAAATCTCATAACATTATATATTTATTATATTGACCTTTCAGCCATGCCTTGCTAACATTAACAATACAAGACTTACAATGATGTGGTGCAAGTACACTCATGTTACCGTATCCAATAATACAAAACTGACCTTTAGTCTTCACCTTACCTGTTCGAATCTAAGCTTTAAAAGAACGAATTTGGCACCTGAATTATTCAATTATGCCACTAGGAGGACATTCTGAGCTTTCGATTGGTTATTCACACATTGTAGACAGAAGTAAGTGTACGTAAGCATGTCTTACCAAAAATTGAAAGAGGTGGGTGGGGCCACTGTGTTTGATTCAGTAAATGTAGCAATATCTCAGCAAATACAAAAGATAGGAGGTTCTTATTGATATCCTAGCTTGTCAATATCGGTAATTTGAGTTTCTAATTCATAAGAAACTGTAGACTAATTTGAACCAATCAACATACCACGCGACACACAAAAAATCGACATTTTAGGTGTGTTTTTTAATATTTACTCTTAAATTAAGAAATTAAATAATGAATAATACTAAAACTTGAATTATAATCTATAATTTGATACCAAACTTTTTGACATAAATTCATAAAATAATAGTTCAATAAAATTTTTAATGCGATGACATGGCCTTTGACCTATGACCCGTGTGGGTAGGGTTAACTCCACTTACAGGCTGTAAGTTATTGAATCTTATTAGAATATATGTCTGTAAACCTGTACTTTTCTTCAGTTCTGCCAGAATTATTTTCATGATTTCCTAATAATTATCACCATATAAATGTTATATAATTTCAGTTTTCTTAATTGTGTCGATAATTAAAGAAATGATGTTAAATATAGATATTATACTTCGATGAAAGTTCTCTGAGTGTCTCCATTGTATTAATTAATGAAATGTCAGACTTTGTATTAATAGTGTATTAAAGGTCTGTTCTAATGTATTAATTTGCTACTTTCTGTTTTGTTTTACTAACTTGTAACAATATCCTAGCATAAGTAATGTTGTATGTGCTTCTCCTAATTTGTTAATAATCTGTCTTGGTATAACAGGTTTAAAAGGCCTGTTCTGATGTATTAATACTGTTACCTGTCTTGGTATAACAGTTTTTAATGGCCTGTTCTGGTGTATTAATACTATTACCAGTCTTGGTATCACAGTTTTTAATGGCTTGTTCTAGTTTATTAATACTATTATCTTTAATAGAATAACAGTTTTTAATGGCTTGTTCTAGTGTATTAATACTATTATCTTTAATAGCCATTAAAAACTGTTATACCATTAAAGATAATAGTATTAATACACTAGAACAAGCCATTAAAAACTGTTATACTATTAAAGATAATAGTATTAATACTCTAGAACAAGCCATTAAAAACTGTTATACTATTAAAGATAATAGTATTAATACACTAGAACAAGCCATTAAAAACTGTTATAAAACTTGTGAATACTGCACCTGGAAGTAGAATGCAGTCTGCGAGTCTCCTGTACGGAAGGTCAGAGTCAGTGGTTGAAATATGAAGACCTAGTGTTCTAAAGGCAGAGAAGAAAAGGTCAGAGAAAGAAAAGAGAGAGAAATTGGAGTAGAAAGATCTTTGTTCATTATTATAGAGAACAAACTAATAAAAGAATATCATAAAGGTATACATGATACATATTAATACACTAGAACAAGCCATTAAAAACTGTTATACTATTAAAGATAATAGTATTAATACACTAGAACAAGGGTCTTTCTACGTGTCCTACTCCAGATGAGTGGTCACTGGTTTGTGTTGAAAAGCATGGTCTTTGTCTTAAACTTAAATATGTGCTGGTAAACATCACGTAACATTTAGATTTATGAAAGACAATATGGTAAACATCACGTAACATTTAGATTTATGAAAGACAATATGGTAAACATCACGTAACATTTAGATTTATGAAAGACAATAAACCAGCAACTATTCAAAATATTAGAATAATTTATGACTTGTTTTTAATAACTTTTAATGGAACATGTTCTCACCTGACAAATATACAAGCTTCAGCTTCCAACTGTCTCCACTGATCTCAAGTAATTTATCTAGTATAAGAGATTAAGAAGATTAGAAGTTTCAGTTTGATTCTCTATGAAACACAGGGGGAAGATCACTTAATTGATCAAGATGTCCAGTACTATTCTGTAGAGCTTCATCGAGGGACTCGAGGATTTGGTTTCAGCATCAGGGGTGGGAAGGAGTTTCAGAATATGCCCCTGTTTGTACTGAGGATAGCAGAAAATGGGCCAGCACATCAAGATAGTAGACTCCAGGTAGGAATGTCTTCATACTTATGTGTCTTGGTGAGTTAAAAGATGCTTTAATAACTAAAGAATTCCAAAATAATAATTCTAGTTCCAGGACCAAAAGATTTCAACTGAGATTTTTACTTCTGACACATTAATGTTATTGCAGTAAAAAGGTTATCTGTAAAACATGTGCTGTGATATGTTCTAACGAAATGGAAAGGTTATATGTAATCTCCTTGACGTAAAGGATAAAACAAACTATTTGTTCAGTGAGTAGAGTATGTGTACAAATCTAAATAACTGACTTAAATGTAGGACCTGTACAAATCAAAATAACTGACTTAAATGTAGGACCTGTACAAAATTTAATGGCTGAGTCGAGTGTAGTACCTGTACAAAATTTAATGACTGAGTTGAGTGTAGTACGTATACAAAATTTAATGACTGAGTCGAGTGTAGTACGTATACAAAATTTAATGACTGAGTCGAGTGTAGTACCTGTACAAAATTTAATGAGTGGGTCGAGTGTAGTACCTATACAAAACTTAATGAGTGGGTCGAGTGTAGCACCTGTACAAAACTTAATGAGTGGGTCGAGTGTAGCACCTGTACAAAACTTAATGAGTGGGTTGAGTGTAGTACCTGTACAAAACTTAATGAGTGGGTTGAGTGTAGTACCTGTACAAAACTTAATGAGTGGGTTGAGTGTAGTACCTGTACAAAACTTAATGAGTGGGTTGAGTGTAGCACCTGTACAAAACTTAATGAGTGAGTTGAGTGTAGTACCTATGTTAGGTGAGTTTGTCATGTATCTACCTGTTGATATGAATCATTGCAATATCTCCACTCCAGTAGAAACAGGGTAAATAGCATTCTGATGTTTTTACAGGTAGGAGACCAAATCATTGAAATTAATGGAATCAACACAAAGAGCATGTCTCATGCAGAAGCTATAGAACTGATTAGACAAGGCAGCTACAGCGTGAGATTGTTAGTGAAGCGGGGAGGGAAGTTTCCTTCTGGCTTCAGTAAGTAGATTTTATATAACTGTATATATGGACATAAAACGTTACTTATTTATAATATCAGAGACAGCATAACTTACGTTCATACTCAGAGAATATTTTTCTTATTCTTTAGTTGACCATCCAAGTCCTTCGAGTCCCCTTGCTCCAACGATGTCCACATTGCTTAATGGTCCAATCAGTCAGAGCTCCCCGCGAGGACCTCCTCACCCAGATGGTATCGTGAGAGACACTTATTTGTGGAAATATGATGCTCATTCCTGAGCTTTTAGGGTAAAACCTAAATGGGGAAAAAAAACTTTGACCTTGAGCTGCAGAGATGATTCTATACATCCCTTGATGTTACCTCTTATCTAATGTTGTGTTATTCAGTATAGATTGTAGTACGTAAAGTGATGATGAAGTTAATCTGACTGTAAGTCAGTAGTCTGGTATACTAACCGTTAAGGTTGTTTGTGGGAAAAGTAAGTACTTGAGCTATACAGCTATATGATACGACATTTAGGACTACTGAATCAATTTCACGTTGGTGCTGGAGAAAAGACAGCCACCAATAGGTCAGATTATGTCAAGTCTAATGCAGTAAGATGTACTAAGCCTAAAAACAAAACCGTACTGAGCCTAATAATATAATGTCTCTAAAGAAGTAAGCTGTGTTGATATCTGTTCAGTTTACATATGGTTGTTTATGAAGGTAGAGTTAAAAAAGAAGTTAATGGTCTCGACACTGAAGTATCTTCTTTAACCTGTTTTTTACTTCTGTGTTAATAAATTTGAAAAGTTCTTGTTTTAGATAAACCAAAGTAACAAATCTGTTATTTCATATTCTTTGTTAGAGTCCCCTCACATTGTTGCATACACATACTGTTTGTTAGGTTCCCCTAACATTGTTGCATACACATATTCTTTGTTAGGGTCCCTTCACATTGTTGCATACACATATTCTTTGTTAGAGTCCCCTCACATTGTTGCATACACATATTGTTTGTTAGGTTCCCCTCACATTGTTGCATACACATACTGTTTGTTAGAGTCCCCTCACATTGTTGTATACACATATTGTTTGTTAGGTTCTCCTCACATTGATGCATGCACATATTGTTTGTTAGAGTCCCCTCACATTGTTGCATACACATATTGTTTGTTAGGTTCCCCTCACATTGTTGCATACACATATTCTTTGTTAGAGTCCCCTCACATTGTTGCATACACATACTGTTTGTTAGAGTCCCCTCACATTGTTACATGCACATATTCTTTGTTAGAGTCCCCTCACATTGTTGCATACACATATTCTTTGTTAGAGTCCCCTCACATTGTTGCGTGCACATATTGTTTGTTAGGTTCCCCTCACATTGTTGCAACACATATTGTTTGTTAGAGTCCCCTCACATTGTTGCATACACATATTGTTTGTTAGAGTCCCCTCACATTGTTGCATACACATATTGTTTGTTAGAGTCCCCTTATATTGTTGCATACAAACTAATGTAATAATTTCTGATGGGTGTTGTGTTTAAAGGTATATGATCTCCAAGAAAGGTATCCTTTTCCTTCTATATATCATTGATGATGGCTTGTGTTGTACATAATACTTATGTTTTGATTTTCCCATTTCACAAGTACCACTGAATCATTGCAAGCTTTTAATTAACAACTAATTTTAACTTCAAGAGTAGGCTGAGTTACAAGTCATCCCAGTAGATGTCTCTCCTTGAAGGTAAATCAAGATTACAAGAATATTGTATTTGAAAATGTTCCCCAGTGGCTCAGTGATAAGCTCTATAGCTTATAATGCTAAAATTCGGGGTTGGATCCTCATGTCAGATGCAGATAGTCATTTATGCAGCTCTTTGTTGAAACAAAAGCATCGCCATTCCATTGTGATTTTTATCAGCGTGAAGATAAACTTTTTATCTCATTTTTTCTATAATAATTTTTGTTTTTTGACCTGTAAATAAAGAGTTAATACTTGTATTGATTTCTAACTTAAGTATAACACCCAGAAATTTGTCTTTATAATAATTAGTATTCTGTTTAAAAGAATCCTTTGATTTATTTAGACAAATGTCATCTCATTATTTTTGTTACAAAAGTTTTTCTTAAACATTAACAATATATATATATATATATTGTTTACTGACTGCCATGCTTATCACTATAAATCATTCATAATTATAAATTTATTTTCTAAATATTTAACTTTGTCTTCTTTTCACTGTTGTGTTAAGAGTGCCACTTGTAAAATAATGGTTTCTTAAGATTGATATTAACACTTTCCATTTTTGTGAAAGGTGTATTATGTTTCAAAAACTGTGGGTTTTTTATCTAAACGTTTAAAATTAATTTTCAATAAGAAAACTTGGGTGCTAACACCCTACATTATTACACTGTGTCAATACCACTAGGAACAGTCTGTAAATGTAAAGGTGATCATTTTTTCGCATGATTAATTCGTATTAAGATGCCATTTTGAGAGAGATCAGTTATATACTTGAGATACCATTTCTCAGATGTCTATTTAACACATGGCCACTTTGTTATTAGCAATAATAGTTGTATCATGGTGAAACAAATAAAAACCGTTTATATGAAACTCGTTTCAGTTCCTACTGATTCTGGGTGATAATTCTGTTTAGATCATCATAAGCCTAATCTGTAATTTAAAAAACAGAACATGTTGTAACAATGCATCCATTAATAAGGTGTACCCGCTAAACATCTCCAACACGAGGTTTAGCGTGTCCTGTTATTGGACTCTCAGCTCCAGCAGGATGGTCTTTGATGTTTGGTTCATCTAGCCAGCAGTTTGTGGAGAATGAAATCCAATGAGATATAGATCTCTAGAGGTCCACAGCTTTCGTCACAAGAAATATTCTCCTCGAACTTTCTCTCAGTAAATGAAAGAATTAGTTTTACGTTTTGGACAGACAAGGGTAAAACGGTGGAATACCCAGGGCATTGTTATAAAGATAAAGTAAGAAAGTGACATCTTTTGTGAAAATAAAAGTGTTTAAGAAGCTGAGTTTTGAACCAGTGTACAGCATGTAACCAGACACTTCCTTAGAAAGGTTAAAAGGAATTACCTTCATTAACGGGATAACTGAAATTACTTGATTTAACAACTACAAACAGTTTCAGACATTTAGATTTACTTACTCTAACAGAAGGAAGACATCTCAAAAGTAAATAGACACCACAATATTTCTCAATAGTCATTCATCTCACATTATCAACTTGACAAAAATGTGCATCAGTACCTAGTCGATTTGACACTAGCATCTTTCAGTGTTTTGACATGGATTCTGTAGGATCTTGACCCAGGATGCACGCTAAACATCAACCACAGGACGCTGGTTTTCTGGAACTTCTTCTCACTGCTCGAGCAAGTATGGCCCAGACGTGCTCGATGGGGTTCGTATCAGGTGACTGACTTGGCCAATTGGAGCCGTTGGATGTCTTTCTTAATTAAATAACTATTCAATAAACATCATGGTGTCTCTGTAGAGGTAAACCTAAACCACTAAATATAACTCGTGAATTCTGAAGTTCCAACGTCGGTTATTGTACTCTTATTGAGAATGAATTTGTCCACAAGAGGGCTCTTTCTCTCAACATAGTGTAACTTATCATTTGAATTGCGCCAACGGTTAGAGCGACAAGAAACAAAGCAGTAAAGACGATCTTCCGTTTCGTATTATTATATTATTCAATACTTTTTTTTTGCGTTTGTTTAATTTTCTGGTTCCCCTGGTAACAACACGTTGTTTGGCAGAACGTGGAGGTTTGAGTGACATGATATAGGTATTTCAACGTCAGATCGTTACACCAAACCCAATATAAAATGACCAACAGGTGGTGTTTTCTTGATAAATTCTCAAATACAACTCTGGAAGGGTTTGGCCGTTATCTTTTTTATCATTCGTTCAGCGATACGTTATTTTTCTTCGCAATTCAAATAATATTTTCAATAATGATTTCCTTGTAAGTGTAAAGCTACACAATAGGCTATCTGCACTTTACAAACAAAATAAACCATATAAACAATATCATATAAAACAATATCAAATAAACCGTATAAACAATATCTAATTAAACCATATAAACAATATCATATAAAACAATATAAACAATATCAAATAAACCGTATAAACAATATCTAATTAAACCATATAAACAATAACATATAAACTGTATAAACAATATCAAATAAACCGTACAAACAATATCAAATAAACTGTATAAACAATATCAAATAAACTGTACAAACAATATCAAATAAACTGTATAAACAATATCAAATAAAAGCATATAAACAATATCAAATAAAACCATGTAAACAATATCATATAAACTGTATAAACAATATCAAATAAAATCATATAAACAATATCATATAAACCGTATAAACAATATCAAATAAAATCATATAAACAATATCAAATAAAACCATATAAACAATATCATATAAACTGTATAAACAATATCAAATAAACCGTATAAACAATAACATATAAACCGTATAAACAATATCAAATAAACTGTATAAACAATATCAAATAAAATTATATAAACAATATCATATAAACCGTATAAACAATATCAAATAAACTGTATAAACAATATCAAATAAAAGCATATAAACAATATCAAATAAACCGTATAAACAATATCAAATAAAACCATATAAACAATAACAAATAAAACCATATAAACAATATCAAATAAAACCGTATAAACAATATCAAATAAAACCATGTAAACAATATCAAATAAACCGTATAAACAATATCATATAAAACCGTATAAACAATAACATATAAACTGTATAAACAATATCAAATAAACTGTATAAACTATCATATAAAACAATATAAACAATATCAAATAAAACCATATAAACAATATCAAATAAAACCATATAAACAATATCAAATAAATTGTATAAACAATATCATATAAAACCATATAAACAATAACATATAAACCGTATAAACAATATCAAATAAAACCATATAAACAATATCAAATAAATTGTATAAACAATATCATATAAAACCATATAAACAATAACGTATAAACAATATCAAATAAACTGTATAAACAATATCAAATAAAACCATATAAACAATATCAAATAAACCGTATAAACAATATCAAATAAACCGTACAAACAATATCAAATAAACTGTATAAACAATATCAAATAAAAGCATATAAACAATATCAAATAAAACCATGTAAACAATATCATATAAAACCATATAAACAATATCAAATAAACTGTATAAACAATATCAAATAAAACCATATAAACAATATCAAATAAACCGTATAAACAATAACATATAAACTGTATAAACAATATCAAATAAACCGTATAAACAATATCAAATAAACCGTACAAACAATATCAAATAAACTGTATAAACAATATCAAATAAACCGTATAAACAATATCAAATAAACCGTACAAACAATATCAAATAAACTGTATAAACAATATCAAATAAACCGTATAA